GGTATGCTTTGGGCAAGTCGTGGCACCACTCCCCGCTGCAATGAGAGTCAAAAGGCTTACGCGTGCGGTCACAAACAAAAAGTTGCAGAGGCCACAGAAGTCTAGCCAGGTTTTTAAAAATGGTCAGGACAATAGCGGAATTGATTTAAATTGAAAAACAAAACACAGGCACACCAGACGGAGGAGGGTGAAAAAAAAAAACACTTTACCCTAGATAACCCCCTCGCGGCTCGTTTCATTTTTTAAACTCAAGTTTACGACTGTGCACTTCTTTTTCTGTCTCTAAAAAGTTTCCAATAAAGTGCCAACCTATGCCAATTTCAGGGCCTGTCTCGGAGGCAGAGGGGGTGGGGAAGATGTGGGGGGTGGGTGGGGGATGTTGGACTTGGGTACAAGCAGCAGTCCCCAGCCCCTCATCAATCCTTCCTTGACCCTCTCTTTCACAGCCATTGGGAGCCACAGAGAGTGTGGTGGGGGGTTGTGTGTGTGTGTGTGTGTGTGTGAATGGAATGAAGCCCAATCAGTTCTGGTTGCTTCACCAGTGTGCAAGGGCCATTTGTTGGGTTTAATTTGTGTTTCCTTTCTGCGTACAGAGATATATATAATATATATATATTTGTTTTCCTTCTTAAAAAAAAAAATCACAATATTTAGGCTGCACCTAATGTTCTCCCCACCCCCTCCATCGTTACATGGGAAGGTGAAATGTCCACCCTAGCCGGGAGCACACGGCCACTGAGCTGACGTCAGCCCGCTAACTTGCTGGTGACCAGAGACGATTTCCGCTGGGGCAGGTCCTCCGGCGTTGGAATGTGGTCCCCCGTCACCAGGTTCTTGTCCGCGCCGCTGTTTGGAGGCTGCTTGTTCTTCATCTTGGCTTTCGCCATGTTGTAATCGCCGGAGTCAAAGTACTTCTGCTGCAGGGCGAAAAGGAAAGGAAAACGGAGGTGGTGGGGGTGAGAGAGATGGAGAAAACGATGAGAGAGAGAGTGGGGGGGGGGGGGGTGGCGGTTGGCGGGAAAGCAACAACCAAGAGGAAAGGACAGGCAGGTCCGAGGGGCCCAACGTTCGCACCTGACCCTGTCGTGGCTGCGAGACCGACTCGTGGGATCTGGGAGTTGCTGTCTAGATCAGTGTTTAAATCGCCCCTTCCTTGTTAGTTGACCCCTCCCCCACATCAAGAATGTGGGGGTGAGCAGCCGTCTTGAACTGCTGCAGATTTCCCCCCCCCCCCCCCCCCCCCCCCCCCCCCAACACCCCTGCAGTGTAGGGTCTCAGTGCCATTAGGGAGGGAGTTTCAGGATTTTGACCCTGAAGCAATGGCCGATATATTTCAAGTCGGGATGGTGCATGTGTTGGGCACTCGGAGGGGAACTTGCAGGGGATTACGTTCCCTTGTATCTGCTGCCCTTGCCCCGAGGGGGTAGAGGTCCCGGGTTTGGAAGGTGCTGTCTAAGGAGCCTTGAGGATTGGCTGTAGACGGTACACACTGCTGCGACTGAGCGTCAGTGGCGGAGGGAGTGGGTGCCTGTGGATGTGGTGCCAATCCAAGGTGGGTGGGGGCTGCTTTGTCCCTGGACAGGGTCGAGCTTCGAGTGTTTGTCAGAGCTGCCCCCATCCAGGGCAAATGGGGAGTATTCCCTCACACTCCTGTCTTGTGCCAGCCCTTTCTGCAGTACTTGCAACTGTCCTGAAAGGACAATGGGAGCAGATTCAAGCAGGACTTCCTAAAGAGTGGAATTAAACAAATAGTTGAAGGGGTAAGACTCACAGGGGCCTTGAGATGGGGGAACTAATTGGACAGTCAAGTGCACTCAGTTTGGGGGGGTTGCACGCAACAGGAAAGTTACTTAGCAATTATCACGTGCAAGCAGATCACTGCGCCTTTCGGCTGAATGTTGTTGGGACACTCAGGCCTCCTCCCAACCCTTCTTCTCTCAGCCAATTTCCTCGTCCTTTTATTCCTTTCCCCCTCGTGTCTTTATATCCAGTCTCCCCCTTCAACGGCTCATCGACAGGGCCGATTACTTAAAAATCAAACCAGAAAGGAGTGGGGGGGGTGTTAAACCTGTGCAGACCCTTGCTTAGACCCCACTCAGGAGTCAGTGATCAGTTCCAGGCTCCACATTACGGAAATGATACCGACGTACCGGAGATAGTAGCAAGCGTGACTGACCAGGAAGACACCAAAACTGTCAAATTGGAACAAATCAGGGAAAGGCTGAACAGGACGAGGCTATCTGCTTTCAGAAAAGGGAAGGCCGAGGAGTTGGAGGGGGGCTCATCGACAGGGCCGATTACTTAA